ACCCAATTCATGTGCCTCTGTTTTCCACTAGAGGCCTAACCACACCTGAGATACTTACAAAGTTATCTGTTCTCTTACAGTTACTTCTTAGGGGCAAGCTTCTGGGTACATGCATTTCCTATTCAGCTGCATAATTTGATGAGATCCACTAACCTCAGCCAGCATGACTGAGTCCTTCCCCTACATCAGTCACCATCTTAAGCTAATTTCATACATCTCTGCTCCATGCTGGACCACAGTGATGGCCTCACTGTCTCAGCAAAAAACCTAAGTGAGGGCTCTCTCTGGTGGCACAACGGGTTAAAGCACGACATTATGAAGCTCTCTGAAGCCACTTCAGCACAAGTTCAATCCCTGGCTAGGGAGCTGACCCACATGGTGCGGCAGACCTCTCCTGACCCACTCGCTGCTCCCCTCAGCAGTGTACTTTGACGATCTGCCTGTTCTGCTCCCCACCCTGTCTCTGGTGAAGCCTCTCACCCCCTTCACTTCTGGCTTGTCACCCAGTTCTGTAAGCATAGATTAAAATAAACAGAACTTAAGTGATGAGAAACTGAGATGCTCAGAAGCCACCCCAATGGAGGATTGTATAAAAGCAAGAAGGGCAGTAAAGGAAAGAACTGAAAAGATTCACCATGAAATGATGAGTGAGAGAAAAAGAGTGATAGGAAGGATAAGGGAATAAAAGGAAACAAAAGGAAAATTGGTTGAGTGTATGCATGTATTACTTACTTCAACAAATTAATGTTTAAAAATGTGCTGAAAATCGCGTATGGCTGCTCACAGAGGTAACTGCCTATAGACGGACTGAACAGGTGTCACGGACGAGGCTGGGACACTGGGAGTGCTTGTTTGGAAAAGTATATTTTCTTATGACTTGCTTTAATCTTTCTTTTCTATCTAGCCACAGAGGATAAAATATCGGTATACTGATTATAAGTAAATGTATGGTAATGTAAGATATACAAAGGCCTCAGAAAAGCAATTAATAGGTAGCAGGTATTTAAACAGCAAAGTGAATCATTCCCTTCAGAACCAATAAAGTTGTGCAAATGAGCATTACTCAGATTTACAGGCACGGACACATTAGCAAATCAATAGCGCGAAACCAGGGAGGACACTGGAGTGTAAAATCACGCTGGAAGTTATGTTTATGCACAAACTGCACGCTTAAAATGCAGATTTATCCAGGTTATGAGTGAAACAAATGATTTGTTCATCTCCCTGCTCCCTTTTTAGTCTTGCATTCTAAAGATTTATAAATCTGTGATCCTCACCAATTTATGGGCCTAGCCCAAGCTCCTGGGGTAATGCTGAGCCAAGCAACCTTCCCCCAGAGCCTTCTCCCTCTCCCACTGCCTCCTCCTCCCAACCCCACCCCCCATTCAAGCCACCTGTTCCAATGCAGTGGGATTACAGGCTGCCCAGGTTGCTTGGCAGAACATTCATGTGAAAAGTAAACTGAAGGCATTTCTATCAAAGGGGCAAATTCATTGAAATGCATTTTTCAATACTTTCCAAGTTTGACACTATTGCTGCTTATCAGGAGTTTTGCCAAATGTCCTATAGAACCTCTTAAAATTTGGGGGCCAGCCCTCCCTGGTGGCGCAGCGGGTTAAAGCACAGCACTGAGAATCTAAAGCCACTTCTGCATGAGTTCGATTCCTGCCTGCCCCGGAGGTGACCACATGGTGTGGCAGACCTCCCCTGACCCACCCGCTGCTCCCCTCAGCAGTGTACTTCATCGATCTGCCTGTTCTGTTCCACACTCTGTCTCTGGTGAAGCCTCTCACCGCCCCTGAACCTCTGGCTTGTACCACAGTTCTGTATGAACAAATAAATAAATCTTTAAAAAAAAAATTGGGGGGCCAGGAGCCCCAACAACATAGTAGAGAAATCAGCAAATCTGAACCACCATCGGTTTTTGTCCTGTTGATATAGATTTGTAGGTCCAATGTAGACCTGCTCCTCTTCTGGGGCTGAGTCATCACAATGAAACATCACAATGAAACTGCACTTCCATGTCCTATAACTGCTCCATGAGAAGAAGTGTGGTCTACCCAGTCATCAATTACCAAATGCAAACTAATTCTGACCTCTATATTTGCTTCCTTTAACCCCAGAGCTTCCCAAGCTACTTACCACCTGAGGTCTTCCTACATACCTCCCCACCTTGCAGTCCTTTGGAACTTTGAGAGGAAGACTGATCACTTCCTAGTACATAAATTTTGCATAAACCCCTAAACTGTCATTTCTAGTCATTTTTTAAATATGTAATTTATTAATTTATATATATTTTACATCATTGTTCATTTTTGTACATTTGCTTTCTTTTTTAACAGCACATGAGCTAGGGAATGGCTTTTGCAGTCATAAATAGTTGAAAGAAAGTAAAAAAAATCTTTTGGGACATGTTATATAAAATGTTAAGTGTCTGTGCCTGTTGATAAAGTCTGATAAAGCCATGGTCGGTGGCTGCTTTCAGGCTCCAATAGCAGAGAGGACCCCAAAACCCCCATATATTTCCCATCTTGTCCTTTACAGAAAGGTACATGTAATAGTTATAGTCGATAAAAGGACTGTTGAAAAATTAAAGCAGGGATGGATCGTATTCTTGGGCTAACTGAGTGTGAGTTCAGGGAAGCTAATTCCAGGAAGGGGCTTAATGACATGGAACACTCTGGAGAGGGGAGAGCGAAAAGATCCTTCAGAAGTCCGCTATATTCCCCCAAATGGGAGAAGCAGCAGGTAGAAATGCTTCAAGAGAAGGAAGAGCGAAATGTTTTTTACCAGGAATGAAAAATACACCTTCAACTGGGGACTGCCCCGAGGAAACAAACTTCACTTCAGTGAACAACTCAGTGGTTCTTTCTCTAGAGCAGGAAAATGAAACCTTTTGGGTGTAAGACCATATTCCATGCCTGGGGTGGTTACACAAAGCTGGAGTTGGCTACATAGCTGAGTTACTTTTCATTTCATCTCATGTGTCTTGGGGAAAAAGAAAACACATGACTTTTAGTTCTGCCATTTCTGTTAGGCATAGCTTAGGGACTTATTACCCAGTCCAGCCTTCTTGACCAAGCTAAGGTGGACCCCAGTGAAGATACAGACACAGGCCCAAAGTGTCCTGAAGGCTCCACAGAGAACGCTGTTCTGTACCTTACCTGTAAGATCTATCTCAGGTAAGAAACAATGCCATGGAACAATAAGGCAGACTAATGCTGACAGTTCTTTCTTGAAGCAAAAAAATACAACAGGATGAGATAAGGACTGAGAGGCCCTTCATCTTTTTTTTTTTTTTTTTGGTTCCTTGCAGGAATAGACTAATACCGCATGACTTTCCTTACATATTGCTCAAATAAATATCAGTCAGCACTATTATTCAAGGTCACTGAAATGATACTATTTCTCATTAGAAGCCCTCGACCTGGCCCTCCCTGGGTTAGAATTTAGCACTGCAAGCTGGCCACAGCTGCCTCAGTGCAAGTTCAATCCCTGGAGGTGCTCCACATGGTGCAGCAGACCTCTCCTATCTCACTTGCTGCCTCCCTCAGCAGTGTACTTCGTCGATCTGCCTGTTCTGCTGCCCACTCTGTCTCTGGTGAATCTCCTCACCATCCCTGCACCTCTGGCCTATACCCCAGTTCTGTATGCATAAATAAATAAATCTTAAAAAAAGAAAGAAAAAGAAGCCTTGGACGTGAAAAGGTTTTAGTATTTTCTTCTCATTCTACTTGTAACTTTGTGGGGCTGAGGTAAGACATGAATAAGCCTCCCCACACTCCAATGAAGATGCCACAACCCTGCTTTCCCTCACAGGCTGAGTGCCAATTAAGGAAAACAGTGGGGTCTGGCCTTCATTAACTACAGACTCAAGAACTATTGAGCTCTACCAATTGCCCCCATTAAACAATTAAGCTGCTAATAGGGTCTGGCATTAATAGATCCAGCAGGAAGCTCACACTTTATTAGTTAGCAAAGCTGAAGTATTATCTATCTTTCCTTAGGGAAGGAGGTAGGTGTGGGGCTAAGATAAATGGACAACAGAGAAGCCAGTGGGTGGTGGTGTCAGGGAGAGAAGGGGCACCTAAGTGTTCCCAACAGGCACCTGCGTATCAGTAGTCAACTTGAACATTCCATTCTGAAGTTCACTGTTTAAGGAGGAAGTAGACACAGTGCCAAGAAAACAGCCTTGGAGTAAAGACCTTGAGGTGGGACATAGTGGGAGCAAAAAAATGGCACAGCCTGACAGAAACACTGGTCTCACAAATTCCTTCACACTATTTAACAACTGGCTTGGCTGGGCCCTCTTCAGTCAAAAGGATCATAGCTGTGAACTACCAGGTTATCCCAATGCACAGCAGTTGAATTTCACTCCCACTCCCTTTCCAAGAGCGAGGTGGCCTGAGTGACCAAGTGGGGTTCTTAAAATGGGAGCTCCGTAGAGTCAGACCAGAGTCAGCATCTATAACTCTTCACAAGCTGCGGGTCAGGAAGACACTGGCCAGTCTTCCTGCAGCCCCCATTCAGGCCCTCTGCAGACTGGAGCTAGGTTACCAGCTAGACTTCAGCTTGCCCAGGACTTCTGGGAACTTCTCTGACCATGTTTCAACAGCCATGGCTTTACTTAAGGATTCTTGATTTATTGATGAACAAAAGTCTGGGGTCTTTTTTCCTCTTAGGATTTTAAGATTAACCTGTTTTCTCAAAAGGTGAAAAGGGTGAGTGGTAGGGGATGAAGGAGGAGAGGTTGCAAGTTATCTCGGTATGTGGTCTGTTCTGTGATCTGAAAGAACAGTAACGTCAGACTCCCTAAGGATGATGCAAAAATAAATGTGCTGACCTCCTGGACACTGAATGAGCCTGTGTCCCTGTTGGGACGCCTGAGAATGACCCCTCCCAGGCTGTTCCCTGCAGGTCGCTGAGGAGTCCCAATCCAGTGCGTACTCTATCCAGCCTCAGCAGTGCAGGCCCCTCCTCAGAAGGGCCTCTGTACTCACGGACAGTGCAGATGATGTAGCTGGGCTGGCTGCGAGGGCTGGGCCCGTGGGCATTCATGGCCCGCACAGCAAACTGGTAGTTGGTATCTGGATCGAGACCCTTGATAACCATGGAGTCCATCTGGAGCTTCTCTTGGATTAAGGTCCAACTCTTGTCCAAATCCGGTCTTTATGGATAAAAAAAAAAAAAACACACAAAGCAATCGTTCAGGAATAGCAAAGGGAAGGGAAGCTTGCCGCTTACGTAAACTAACAGCATTGGAACACTGGAAGTGATACTTATAAAATGAGTTACCACTTCCTATCCAAAAAGACATCTTGATTTTAAATCACAGGTCATAATTTTTTAAGTCCCTGCCAATAAAAGCAAGTAGATCATTTTTAGAGCCAGTTCTAAGCACTGTTAAAGATCCTCCACTTTGCTCACACAATCTGGACTGTGGTGAAAAGAGCCTCACATAGGAATTCTCTTTCAAGGACTTTGCCTTCCAGATGTTTCATAAACAGGCCTTGCCCGGACAGTCCCCATTCCCAGAGGTCAGGAGAGCACAGATTCCATCTATTCACAATCTGTTCACAAAATAAACAAATTTAAGTTTTATAGGGTGACTAATTGCACGAATTGCCATGGGAAAACCCAAGAAGATACTGTTCACGGCCATTCTTATTCTTCACAAAACTGTCCAGTGGTGCCAACTGGCTGGTTTTACTGTCCTCCTGAGACCCCACAGGCATGGGCCTGCCCTGAGAGGCCCCTGTGGGCAGCTACACGCAGGCTAAGAGTAGGGTTTCTAGTCAGACAAAGCTATGTAAGTCCTGCCCCCATGATCAATGAGCTGGGATTTCACTTGAAGAGTTCCTGTTTTCTCATCTGTAAATTGGGGCCATAAAAGGACTTTCCTAAGAGGGCTGCCATGAGGATCAAATGGGCTAAACAATCCTCCACTCAGAGTACTATAAACAGTCAGCACTCGACAGCCCGCACCTCAGGGGCACCCCGGCACGGAGCTGGCAGCCCACCTGTTTACTCCCGGATACCTGAGGCATTGCTGTGAGCTTGTGTGGAGCTGAAACTCCCTAATCTGAATGGAGATGTGTTATATGAAACGTACACTGGATTTTAAAGGAAAAAAATGAATTTAAAAGAGATGACAATTTGTACCTTGATTTCATATTGAAAAGATATTTTTATTTGATGGGTTAAAATATATATGATTAACATTTCAATTGTTTTTTTTTAAGATTTATTTATTTGTGCATACAGAATTGGGGTACAGGCCAGAGGCTCAGGGGTGGCGAGAGGCTTCACCAGAGACAGAGTGGGGGGCAGAACAGGTAGATTGACGAAGTCCACTGCTGAGGGGAGCAGCGGGCTGGTCTGGAGAGGTCTGCCGCGCCATGTGGTCACCTCTGGGGCAGGCGGGGATCGAACTCATGTGGCTTTAGCTTCTTAGTGCTGTGCTTTAACCCGCTGCACCACCAGGGAGGGCCTCAATTGTTTTTCATTAGCTTTCTAATGCTCCTATTAAAAAACAGTATTTCAGGGCCCTGACTGGTGGCACACGGGTTAAAACACAGCAGCCACTTCATGAGCTCAATCCCTGGCCCTGGAGGTGATCCACATGGCGTGGCAGACCTCTCCTGACCCACCCACTGCTCCCCTCAGCAGTGTACTTCACAGAGCTGCCTGTCTGCTCCCCACTCTGTCTCTGATGAATCCTCTCATCCTCCCTGCACCTCTGGCCTGTACCCCAGTTCTGTATGCATAAATAAATTAATTCAAAAACCAAACCAAAACAGTATTTCACACAGACTTGCATTATATTTTCCTTGAGCAGTGCTGCTTTGTATGGAGAAAAGTAGCAGGAGAATAAGAATCAAAGATGAAATTTGGGCATGATTGTGCTTGTCCAGGAAACAGTAGCAAGGGCCTAACAGAAGCAGAGGGCGTATGTTTAAGGATAATAATAGCAGCTGTCTATCAAGGGCTTGTGAGCACCAAATATTGTCCTAATACCTTAACTCATTTATTTCCCATAACTACCCTATGCAGGAGGTACGAATAGTAATGACTTCAGGGCACTGAACTTCAACATTAAGTAACAACTTGCTTGAGCTGCTAAACTGTGAGGCCAGCGTGGGTTGACGGGAGAAAGGTGAATTAACATTCTGGATATTACATTAAAAATTGGGTTAGCAGCATGTTGAGGGTCCTCTCCTCTGTGTTTTATCATGCTCCTGATCACTTCTCAGTTACTATTTGTTAAATGTCTCTGCTCACAGATATTTGGAAGGTAGCAGAAAGCAAAAAAAAGATTGATGTCTGTTTTTTTTTTAAAGATTTATTTATTTGGGCCCTCCCTGGTGGCGCAGCGGGTTAAAGCACTGCACTGAGAAGCTAAAGCCACTTCCGCATGA